GCTGCTGTTGTTGTTGTGGTTGTAATATTTTATATTGTAATTTATAAGTTTCGGTTTTACGCACATATTTTATTAAACCCACTTTATGTAGAGTTTCGCTTTAGTTCCAAAGTTGAAAGAAACTACATCGCAACGGCTACAACAACAATAATAACAACAACAACATTGCAAGTAACAAACTATAATTCAAGAAAAAAGTTCATCTTAAGCAATATAATAAATTTATACAATATTATAAATGTATAAAATAAGAAGAAAAAAATGTATATATTCAATAAAAATAAAAAAGAGAACCATATGAAAAATAAATATTTTTAGAAGGATATAAAAAGATTTTTATATATCTTCTGCTTATTTGTATATTTGTTTAGAAGGGGTCTCCTTGCTGCAACTTAGCGTTTGCGTCCGTCCGTCCGTCTGTCGCAGTGTCTTAGAGTTGTTTACTTTGTATATGGATTTGCTGTGTTATTTATATGCATAAATTATTTATGCGGTATTACGAGCATAAAAATAAATAAAATAAATTGAGTAAAGAAACTAAAGCCGATTAGAAAGATACCGAACCGAACCGAAATAAAATAAAATCAACGCACCCGCCGCAATCTCAAGTACGAGACGCTTTCTGTACCCGCACAGAAATGCATTGGGCACAACAGTTCCGATGCCAATGCAGAGATACGATTTTCAATTACTTTCTATAAATCAACGTGGGTAATGAATTGTAGTTACATATCTATACAAATAAATACTATCTACTATTTATATGCATTTATGTAAAGTAATTTGTTGCAAATAAGTTCAGTTCGAGATAAAAAATATATTTATTTAATCTCATTGTGTATAATTTTTTTTTGATTTTAGTTGATTGTTGCTGATTATATATTTTTAATATATTCTATAGAGAAATACAATATATTATTTCGATTAAGTAAAGAAATATGACTTTACATTACATATCAAGACCACAATTTCACCAGCAACTATCTATGCTCTATATACAGATAGTTTCAAAGAAATGTTAAATGAAAGTATATTTTAAAGCCATCTATAAATCAATATTAATTTAGTTCAAAACAGTAAGATAATGTTATATATAAGATATAATTTCTTGCAATATATAATATATAATTAATATATATATATATAAAAGTTCAATATATATATGTATATTCAATATATACTGATAGCCACAAAAATAAACAGGCGGAGGTGAAATCTATTTTCCCGAAATATGTAATATGAGGACAACACGTTGAAAGTCAAAGATCGCACATGAAACCTATAAAACTATAACAAGCAAAGATCCATATAATGCTGTCTCAAAATTGACGATGATGATAGTATGTATGGTATATGAATCGTATACAGTACCATCTCACTAACGATGATGGTACGTTGTATATATGGTATATATACAAATAATACCACTTGAGATGTTATGGACGTATAAAAGAATTTTATATCTGTAGTATACTGGACTTACATTTCTCCATTCTCTAGTATATATGGTATATATATTGTACACAACTAATAGCACTTGAGCTCTTCTGGAAGTATAATAGAACTTATTATCTGTACTGTACTGGACTTACATTTCTCCATTCTCTCATTCGTGGAATTTAGCTGTATATAGGGAAAAACGGAATTGTCAAACGATTCATTTAACGCTTGATTCACTTAATCATGAGTCAATTTCGTTAAATGTAAGATTAATAGATAAATCCTAATAGAATTTAGACATCAATTTATATTAAAAAAAAATTAATCCTATTTCTTCTCAAAATATAACACTTTTAAAAGAACTATTAATAATATTTACAAAATATTCAAATAATAAAAATTTGAACCATTATAATTTTCCAACTTAAGAACGTATTAGGTATCAAATTTGAGGATATTAAATTCACTTAAAGTATATAAATTTAAGCGAACATGGTTTTTTTAAATATTGAAGATTTTCCGGGAAAAAATTCTCTCTATTAACCTTAACTCAACAGAAGATAATCTGCCATTCAAGTGAAGGCTTATATCTCAACTTCTGAAGACTTCTGAAGAAATAGCATTAGACGTTATGCAGAAAAGCTATGTGTGCCTTAAGCCCTTTAGTAATATTAAATAGTGTGGAGACCTCAATAGTGTGAAACCTTCGCTTAAAAGACAGGATGACACGCATCAAGTGTGAGTGACATTCTGATATTGTACAGATCGGCATCCTTTCAAAAAAAAGGCAATGGAAAAAGGCCCATTATATGTACGTTTAGTAATTTTTATAGTCAGTATGACCATCTTTACTATATGGATTATTACAGACATTATAAATTAATACTTCATAGGCAGAGTTTAAAAGACTTTTATACAAATTTTATAAATTGTTCTCTCGCATGATTATTGAATCACGTAAATGACTTCATTTGGAACTTTCATATGAATGATGGAGAAATCGTCACTATAACTTACTAAAATACTTCAACTCATACACATTATGAATTGAATATTACACATTATATGAACTGACCCCATATGTCAAGGTGACATACAAAATCAATAGTCTTAAGATTTATTATTTTAATATGGCATTTACTTACGTGTTCCTAAGAAATTGGCAAATTGTCCGATCTTAAAAACTTCTGAGATGATAAGTACTTTAAGTGACTTGTTACTATTTGTTAAGTTTAGAGTAGTAGTAGATATTTATTCTTACATCTTTATCAAAACGTTACTTTATCAAAAGTTTTTAAAGTTTAAATAAAAGTCTTTTAAATAAACGGTAACTTACATATATGCATATAAAAGCAATAGTCAAAGAGCCAGCTAACAGCTTCAAAAAGTGATAATATGAAAAATTAAGAAACGAAGTACTAAAGTACCAGCGTTCTCCATTAAACGTATAGAATTAAAAAAATTTTAATTTCTCCAAAACCTTTATAAATACATTTTTAATGTCAAAATCTTAATATCGGTAATAAAACTGTCGGACAAATGTCAATGTAAGATTGCTGATAAAGGCGATAACAATAAGTGTATTAGAAAGTTTATGAAATCTAATTTACTAATCAAGAAGACTTGTGCTAATATAGCATTTGAATTGTATCTCAGAAGATAGTCTTCTATTTACCATATGTAACCGATTTAACTCAATTAAATTTTAAAGTTTGAATTAATTAATAGAGAAGTTTCGAACAGTAGTAAGCTACAACAACACAAATTATTTTTATATTATTTTAATTAATTGAATTTTAGGCTGACTATATAGTTATTAAGTACCACAGTTTCCGTTAAAGTAAAACTAGCAACTTCTGTAATATTGACGTTAAAATGAAATTTATTATTAAATTAATTAAGAAATAATATCAAACTAAATATTAAACTATGTATATTCTTTGTCTTTCCCAAAAATAAATTTAATTAAATATTTATTATTTTTATTTATTTCAATTTTATTTCTAAATATAAAAGTAGATGTAACAATTAATCAACAAAATCCCATATGCATTAACACGGGTGTAGGGGATGAAATCTTTAGATACATTTTATTAAGTTATAAATAAAATAAAAATATATTAAAAGCAGCATGTAACCGAATATTTGCTATTTTGTGTAAGGTTGACCCATGGGGAAGAAAACAGTGAATTTTTATAACACCACGGACCATTAAACACACTCGAATGCGTTGACGAAGACCTCGCCAACCTAAAAACGAAGAAGAAAGTCATTAATTTTGCTTGACCATAAATACAAATATCCTTCGGGTTCAGACTAGAACTGTATGCAAT